ATGATGCTGAACCAGTCACAGTCCAAAACAAAGGTTCTACGTGTTCCTCCTGCAACACATAACACTTTGGTGTGATCTGTCACCACTCTCATAAGAGAGCTCAGTTCTCCCTATGCACTCAGACCACATCTGTCAGACCAGCTGCAAGTCACCTCTTATCAAACATAACAGCTCACCCTTTTTCCAAGCTGGTCTGCTGTCCTACCTGCCACAGGTTTCATCTTTATGCACACCATGTCCTGCTGACAGCAGGCCACATCATAACACTGGGTTTGTTACATGCCAGGGGAGGAGAGAAGCAGGGAAGCAATTATCATGGAATGAGAGGAAGAGGAATTGTAAGAGGAAGGACTGATGCTGAGAGACAGGAAAAGACTGTAAGCCTGATCCAATTAATTAACATAATTAATGTCATTATTTTCCTCCTCTGATTTAAGGATTCAATACAGGAATCATGCTTACCCGTAAGAGTCTCAGATAAAAGTCTCCGGATACAAAAGGCAAGATGTTACACTGCTGTAACTGTATTCCCACAGAGGTCTATCGATTTGAGTTAACTATGAACCCTGTGGATTCTTTCCTCTCCATTTATTCCTGGAAAAACTCACCTGCCTCTCCTCTTAGCAGCTGCTTTGTGCTGCTTCTTTTACTAACATTTTGCAAAAAGTTACATTTTTCCTTTATTTCTGAGGAACTTGATCCAATATCAAGTTACAAAGAGTACCGGCCACTGTCTGTATGCACAGTAATGAACATCAGCCTAAGGACAACCACCTGCATGCACAAATCTAAGTACAAATCCGTATGCGATACTGAAAAATAACTGAGCAGATTTAGTACAAAACAAACAAACAAACAAGCAAACCCACTCACAGGTCAACCTAAAAATCTTTCAGAAGCTTTATAAAATTGCAAAGACCAACACATTTCAGGGAGCACTGGACTAGAACAGTTCATGTCAAAACAAAACATTTGATATTATGTCATGTTTTACACTTTTTAAATAAAGATTTCAGGTTTCTGAATGAAAGACTTCTCTAAGTAAAAGTTTGGATTAAAAAAAAGGGAATTAAAACAGGTAGACTCATTTGAATGTCTCAATATGAACTAATGGTGCACACAAAAAACAAAATTACAGCTCTAAACCTAGACCACTTTACAAAATATTTTAGCATCACCACATCAACATTTTTCAGTAAAATTAATTCAAGATGAAAATTTCTCTCCAATCTTGTCACAAATGCACTTCTACACACCAGTACAGCCAGTGTGCACCCTCTCACTCATGTAAGCAGGCTGAAGACAGGGACCCTACTGTGTATCTGGTTTGGACTCCAGGGGGTGGGAGAGGAATGCTTTTGAAACTTCATTGGAGTGGGACATCCTTTTCTCCAACTTTGATCTTATGGACTAATTAGAAACTGTGCAGCTATGTAACACAGACAGGAAGATGGATTTCTGCTATGGCTGATCACAAGATGTTGTCTTCAGCTCTAAAGAAAGAGTACACATGGCTCGCTACCTAATTGTTTCCTTCTCCAACTTAGTCCTCCCTCCTGATGTAGTTTACAAATCCCCAGTGTTTGTCTGCATGTGACCCCTTACTGTGGGATTTCCATATATCTCTCCTATCCTTCTCCACTGTATTTCAAAGGGTCCTCAACTTTGTAATGTTCATGACTTAAAAAGAACTGTCATGCTCTTATTTCAAGGCTTCCACCCAACTCTGGCTTTCAGTGACAGTCATAGTGCCTTGAACTGCATATCTGGACTGGGCACAGTATATGGAGATATCCTGTCATTTACACAGTAAAGGACTGTGGATCTAATTCCTAAGACAAATTTCAAGGATCCTTGGGTGCTGTCCTTCTTGGAACCATTTAATTGAAACCACTACTATGCCTGTGTGCTATTTTAACTGGGCACTAGAAGAATAAGAGAGAAGTTCTTCAATGAAGAGGCAAAAGAGGTCCCATCCCTTCCACTCTTGGCATGCTCTCCTCCAGACAAAGGGATACACAAAGCACTAAGGGTTTGTCTAAGTGAGATAGATGCACTGGTTTATTTTAAGCTGGCTTACGACAGAATTAGATACTCCTATATCTTCATGTACATGTGGACTTACAGAACTTGAACCAGTTCATACTCTCTCTACAAAACAGGCCAGCTCAGTTCTGAGAGGTAGATAAAACCAGGGAGAGAAACAAAACATTTGAGGTTTCTGAAAACTGTTTGTTAGACAGATGCAAGCATCCAGGAATGGGGTATTCATCATTGCCATGCTGATATACCATTCCACAAACAAAAAAAAAGCTGGTTGTCTTACTCCTTAACCTGCCATCATCCTTCCTATTCTTCTATGCCTTAAGAAGTGTTCAACAAAACCCAAAACCATAACTATTCCTCAGGTTGAAATTAAGTGTAAGTTACCCTTATCTGTGACAGCCCCACTACAAGTGTCAGAAAAGACTATAAAGAAAATCCTGACAAAATGCCTCTACTAATATTATCTCATCAACTGTGGTTATAGTCAACAGCTAAACTCTGAGCAACAACATAAGCATGACCATATTTTTGGGAAGGTGTTTGAGGTTTGCTCAGGATGTATGTTGTACTGTAATTTTGCAAGTAGTTTGCTTTCCACTTTCAAAGGCAAGAGTATTACACCTGGCCAAGCACAACCTGCTTTCTCGTAGAAGAGAAAAGGACTGACCTACCCCCTTCATTAAGCTCAAGTAATAGAAAAAAAAATCATCCAATATGAAGGCTCAAAGTAATACTGGGGCTTAAAATAAAAAGAAAATTCTCCCAGATATTCATCTGGTGTCTTTTATCACCTTCTTCCTAGCCATCTCCTGAGACCAGGGGCTAGAGTGCAACCTCAGCCTCTGAACGATTGTGAAGTTGGTTTGACACTGAACAACGCACATCCATGCACTGAGTCCTTTCCTGGTTTTGTTACTGTTGGTTCTCTTGGGAGTTCTCTTTCTAAGGTTTTTTTTCTGCTGCTATTCTCTACAACTTTCTGAGTTTTCTCATAGAGTCTTAATTTTTGTACCAAGAGGAGTTCCAAAATTCTCCAGTGTTTTGGTGTGCCAAAAATTTTCAATGGATGGGAACTCTGAAATCATCCTTTCATTACAGAGCTCACTAGAAAGGCATATGCCAGCCAGTAAAACAAAAGAGAGAAAAGGAGACCTACGAATTCCTTCATCACTAAGGCCTTGGGCTTTCCAAATAAAGAAAATGTGAAACCACCCCAAGAATATGCTCCAGGAAAAATTCCTCTTTGGAAACACAAGTGGTTTTTAAAATAATTTCTGTAGAGCTTGAAAGCTGACCATAATAGCCCCTTGAGATAAGCAAACCCCACATGAACTTTGTGATGGCAGCTACACAGTTAAATGCTCATGCATCCAAGTCTCTCCCTGGGTGATAGAGATTATTTTTGGCAGAAGGTTGGACAGAGATTGTAAAATGTACGTTTATTTTCATTTAGCTCTTTACTTGCTCTCTCTGAAACACACCCTTTTTTACCTCTTTCCTAATACAGTCATGCTTCATATCACAAACTTTGATACAGAGCAAACATAAATATATATATTCCTTACATTACCCTTACTTGCATGTTGAAAGTCATTCCACCAAAAACATTGGGATGATATTTTTTAGTTCCTGATGAGACCACATGCCATGAAAACTGAGGCTATGGGGACATACATGCAAGCTCTGCTTGCATGAGGTACCCTTGTCCTGGGACCCTTTGAGAGTAATGCAACTTCTGTCATCCCAATAGGAATAATAGGCCAGAAGAAGGCTGCAATTAAAAACTCTGTGCTATGCTTTGGCATACAACTCTAAATAGAAATAAATTATGAAACCTGCTTAAAGGCTGATGTCCCAGTGTGTCTTCATACAAAATAAATATATACAAGTTCATCATTTAGCCAGAGAGGGAATTTCACTGCACTAGCAGGAGCTAGCTGGAGTGTCCAACAACCTGTTTGCCTTTCCTCCTTTCCTGCCTGAAAGTTATATTGTTTGTTACACTGAGAAATACATAAGAGTCTCCTGATCCTTGTCTAAGGGTCTAGTCATAGTCCCCGTCATTGCACTGGGTGTGCTACCATACCTGCAGCTCTCTGAAAAGTTCAGCATGTCCTGATACAGGTTTTTCTCTCCTGATTTTCATAACGAGTTTGCTTGCCACTGTGCACAAATAGTAAATGTGTCCCACTCCTACCTTCTTCTCCCATCATTGTTTGTGTGCATGCTGCCACCTCACAACTTCTCTCCTTTTACTGCAGCTTCCCTCCTATTATCTCTCTGGCTCTCTTGCTGTTCTTTCATTCCTCTTGCTGTGTTTCAGAACCAAAGCTGACAGTGACAAACAGAGCAGCACAAAGATTCTTTCCAAACTCAGCCTGAGTACCACTTTCTAGCTAGGAGCTCATAACTCTATCTTTCATACTCCCAATCCCTTCTTCTCCCTTTATCTGTGTCCCTCATCTCTCTCCTTATACAAAACATCCTCTCTAAACTACGCATTTTCCTGTAAGCGACCTTCACTGCTCTGGAGCTTTACTTTCACCCACCTTTCAAAAATAGTCCCAAAGAAAACCATTCAGTAATCATAGAAGCAAAATAGTCCTGGGTTATAACTGTTAGTTTCATGCTGAACCCTTGTACAATGACATTGTCTGCTTCCAGCCTCGGAGCCTCAACAGCAACTGCCTTTCTAAAACTACAGATCACCTATTCATTTCAGTGAACAAAATTTACTTAGAATCAGTAACCATCGAGATTTGTCTTTCCACTTTATATATGTTTCATGCCGGTACTTTCTCTTTCCATCCTCCTTTTCCCCCCCACTGTTCTGAAAATAATGCTTTTCTGGTTTTAAAGCAAAAGGGAAGTGGCAATGAAATAAGTCTGAGTCTCTGGGTATAAGAGGGACTTTGCATCATAAGGAGATGATGGGAAGAAAATAAGTTACTTACCCACTGTGGTAACACACAGCACCAGCTGTGGGAGCCGCTCCATGGCTCTGCGGGGTGCGGGCAGATCCCGGTCGGGTCCGCGGCTCTGGAGGAGACGTGCCAGGCTCTTCCTGTGGGCTCCGCTGGAGCTCTGAGACCGGGCTCGGGCTCGGGCTCCTGCTGCCTTGGAGGAGAATTCCCACCTCCTGCTCGTATGGGTCCTAGAGCCACCCTCCCTTCCTTCCCTCCTCCTCCTCCTCTCGTTTTGCATACCGCTCCTGCACGATCAGCAAATCCATAAGGCAGTTGCTTCAGACGTGAACATATCATCTATAAATTTTTTAGGCATTAGTATTCACTAGAAAAAGCTGAATTCAGCATTTTACTGGGTTGTTCCTCCTCCTCAGTATTCCCTTGCAGCTGGCTCAATAACACACACTGCCTGGACCAAACTCAGCTCGTATTTAAGATGATAGAGATGATCCCCTTGACCTGAAAGACCGTTCATTAACTACCCTGAAAAAGAAAATTTATACAACCTAGATACCCACTTTTCTACCCTTAAGTTCACTTAGAACCACCTAACTCCTGCACAAGACAGCCTCAGTTGGAGAGACGTGCAGTGAGGACCTGGAGCACAGGAAAGCATAGGCATTCCACCTGCAAGCTTATGCATTCATTCTTCAATCACTTTCCTTGTTAAACTCCTTTTTCTTCTGGTTCATCAGCCCTTCAATTACTGTATTCACTCTGCCTTCAATTTGTTTGCATGTGGTTTTTTCTTGATAGAGAGTTTATTCTAAAATTGCTATTTAGTTTATTGCTAAAATTGCTATTCTTTTTAATAATCAGAATACTTTCTTTCTGATTGATTCTTCATGTGGATACCCTTACTCTAAATTAGGAGTACTTTGGTCCAAATTAGCATAATTTATTCTGGCTGTTGTGAATTTACTACTCAGGTAGTACCTGAGTCTTGAGTACAGTCCCATTCATGATGCAGGCACTGGAGAGATTTGGAGCTGACATAAATTAGAACCCCGACAGGTCCGGTGTGTCTGGTACTTTTAAGGCAAAAGCCTGCATTCTATTTTTAATTGTCATTCACAGATTAGACTAAAATTTTAATTAATTTATTTAACCTTCTGTGAATCTTCCACTGATGTCTATGAGAAGTATGCACTGCTCAAGGGTAGAATTTGCTTCTTCACCATAACCATATATTTGGATCTATTAATTTGCTCTTTGTTTAGCAACAATTACTATTTTCAAAAGATTTACAGTGGCTAATTTTTGAATGCAACCTGGATGATTTGGAAGTAAACATCATTCTGAGGTTTTCCTGTATGGCCACATCAGTTACAAAAGTGTGGTAGCAAGAAACACAGACAGTATTGGCTCGCTTATTAATTAAATTTATATAAACTGTCCCGCCAGCAAAGTAATAGACTAAGACCAGAAAAAAAAAAATTTAAACAAAAAAATGCTGCCAGGTTTCCATCACTTCATAAATAACTTTCTTGGCTGAGGCTCTGAGATTGCAAAGCAGGTAATTTTTTTTACTCAAATTGGTAGAAAGTAGGGGCACCTCAGGAATTTCCATGCTTATCTAAACCCTCCCATGAACAGAAATGTAAATAATCTGTATGTACAAGGAACTGGTAGCAGCAGAGACAGATGAAATAAGACTGTTTCTGATAATATTCAGTTTTAAAGATATGCGTATTGTCCATGGTTTTCAATTAGTGTCACAAAGACAGATGAATTCTAATTCTCATTACAGAAATGTGAGGCATCCTAAAAAAAAGAGATAGATGCATGTGTTGCTTTTAAGCAGAGAGTAAAAGCAGAGGAGAAGGTGACAAATCTCTGACCAACTGTCTCATTGGACAGTTTTGGAAGATTGAGTCCTGGCTCAGGAAAGTAGACCGTGGTCTACTGGAAGGTCCATAATTAATCCTTGGCAAGATAATGCACATCTGTCAAGCAAAGAATGTCACCCAGTCCAAACAAAAACTTTTTTAGGGAATCAAAGATTTTAAAGATACATGGAAAAACAAGTGTTTCACAATGAAAAACATATGAATATATACAGAGTATGAATATATACAGAGTATGAAAACAGAAGATGGAACAATACCCATCATTTGGAAATAGGGGCAGGTACTACAAGCAAGTGCCACTCACCAACAGTTTGCAAGTGATGCAGGAGCATGCTCAACAACAAGAGAATGGCAGCAACACCACTAATGCAGAGGAAACCTCTGTAGATGTAATTAGGAGCAATGGACAATGTTGCATCTTCAGAGAACAGAACTGTTAGTCCAGAAGCAATTCGGACAAGTATAAGCTTTTAAACTGTGTGCTTATGCACAAGCTAGACCACTGCCAGAATCTGGATACTAGCAACAGAAAATAAATTACCTTAAATAATGATAGCATTTTTGGCTGAGGAACACAGGAACAACATGTTGGAGTTCAGGAGAGGGAAGCAGATTTGCTTATCCTATTCTTATATTCTTCTGAGGGCATCCATTGTTGCAAACACAACACAGGGGGCTGCAGAGAACTCTGATCTAACCCCATAACATCTCAGAAACATTTGGAATGAGATTGAAAGACAAGTTCCTACCATGCTACCAAGAAAATGCCTCAGAACTGAAGGGAGATGAGACACTTCACCCCAAAGCAAGCAGAGCTCCAGCAGTGAGGGTCTAGTCACTGCCAGAAAAAAAGGTGGAGTTTTCACTTACAGGTAGATTCAGGGGAGAAAAATTATAAACAGTGGGAAATATTTCTCACATACAAGAAGAAAGCATTGTTGTGGTGATTGACTGCAAATGCATTTCTAAGTGGGACACAGGCAAGGCAAATGTTCACCTAGCTCCAACACCTTCTTTGGAAGATACTGTTCTCTTTTGGACTGCACACAGTACAGAAAGATAAAGCACATTTTTTATAGAATATCCAGTAAAAAGTCTGTAAAATGACATTTTGATTTAAGAAAAATATGAGAAAAATGCAGCCAGAGATCTCATAAACCTTTCATGAAAAACAAGATATAGGGCAAAAGCTAAACAAATATTCCTTATGATGGAAATAATATCCAGCAGAGCAAGGTGAATGTAGTGAGATGATACAGTCTGGACACACTACGATGAATGAGTACAGACTTGTTTGCAATATAAGGTATGTAAAGAAATTTGTGCTCAGTCAACCCACCTTGGCATCCTGAATACTGCTCTACAAAGCTGGTTAACAGACAGGATTTGACTGCTACAAAAACATTTGGAAATCTGAAGACCTTAACCAAAGATGTCTCAGTCTCCAAGATGGTATCTAAGCACAAAACTAGGTTGTCATTGGATTCTTCTATTGAGAATATTGATAGTTTTTCAAAGTTTTATAGTCAAACTTTGAGAGCAGTCACTTATTCATAAAACAAATTAGTATATATAAATAAGGAAAGAAGCTTTGGCTTTACTCCATAGCCATTAAAGCTTCATGTCTTCATGCATGGAAGAACCATGTGAGCTAAAACTAATCATAAAACTCTTTACAGCCTAAGGGACCTGGAAATTCTCAGCCTAACCTTTCCCACAAGCAAAAAGGCTACAAAAGTATTTTGGTTTCAAATATATGATTTCAATGTTCCATAAAAACTAAGCAATATCTGATGATGGTTAGACACATGGTCTCTGGAGTACTTTACAAAGGAACTATGAAGAAAAAATATCCAGAACTAGATTTTATATCTGTTGCACACACAAGCTCTTTAAGAAAAAGTTTCTGTCTGGTATCAGACAAAATGTGAACTTTGATTGCTGCAGACATTGCTGAGGGCAAGCCCCTACAAAAAATAAGTGGGATCAGTGCCACAGATAAAACTAGTTACATCAAATGGAGCGTAATTGTTAATAACCAGGCTTTATCCTTTAAAATTATAATAGGTAGAAAAGGGTTAAATTTAATTGTTAAATGTGACTTGGCTTCAATGCAAATAAAATCCTCAAACATCAGAGAAAGAAAGTGTTTAAAAGGACATGCACAGAATCATTACAGATTTAAAATCTAAAAGTAGGACCAATGATATTTTACACCAGCATCATATAAGAAGCAAGTTTGAGGAAATTATTGTGATGCTTGTGGCATAGGGCAGAAAGAGAAGTAAACATGTAGGTGTGTAAGGAGGGAAAAAAATATAATGCCCTAGAGCAAAGTAGGTATTTGCCACTGCTGCTGGAAGCAAACAAACCTATTTATGTCTTAAACTATCAAATTCGTACCTATGTACAAGGAAATATATCTTAGAAGTCATCTGTGCATGTCAGTACTACCCTTGTTGCATTTTAAAGTACCTGCATTAGTGATGTCTGACAAGAGGACACCTTTAATGAACATGAGATTTAGCAGTTTGCAGCAAAGTACGTACGAGGCATGTCACTACAAGTCCCCATTATTTCCAGTACAACAGGTCAGTAGAAAGCAGTGTCAAAATAATAAAGCACCTACTAATGAAAAATGGTAGAGGCCATACTTCAGCCCTGTTAAATCAGAGCATGGCACCAGCAAACCATGGCTTGTCACTTGCTGATATTTCATTCAATGGACAATTGAATACGAGAGTGCCTGTGCTACTAGAAATGGATTTCAAGAGCCCTTGGGGACTTGTACCTGTCTGAGGAGACAGCTGAGTTAAAACAGCAATCCAAAAATGAATTGGAGTACCTGGAGCTCCTACCATTTGCCCAAGACAGAAAACTCTTAACTGTGAAAGCAAAACAACAGAATGGAAGCCAAGACATTTTTGAAGTTACAGGAGTGTGTCACACGAGAAAAGCCACCCTGTGAGTCAGTTGCTGTGTAACACCCAGGAAATTGCACTTTCTGAAGAGCCTGCTGTGTACAATTAGAATTAGTGACCTCATCTGACAACATATATGGCCACAACTTACTAAGAGCCTATGGAAGCAAAAGCATTTTTCTTTCAATAGAACCCTAAACTCACAAACACCTGAATGACTCACAATTTCTTACTGATATCCTGGGTTTAAATCACAAATCATCCCCCACAGTAGTGACTGGACCATCTACTCTTGCGGCAATATCACAAGAAGGCACTTGATGTTTCCTG